CCGTGACGGGTGCGGCCCAGACCCGTATTTAACATATTAGGGCCTATCATTGTGTATAGTGTATAGTTATCGGGTCTATCTCATGAGCCCTATTCTATTTGCTAGGTTGTATATATACTCTACCCTACACTCTAATGAAACTACGGAAAATCATTTCGTGACATGGTATCAGAGTCCATCAAATTTTAATCCCTAAATTTCTACATTCTAATCACTAAATTTCTGAAATTTTAATCTAAATTGCTACTCTACATATTTTTATGTCAACGGAAATATACACTTGATATTATTGCAGAGTCTGGTTTGCTAGGTGCTCGTCCGAAAGGTACTCCTATTGAGCAGAATCATACTATGGAGAAATCAGATTCCTTGTTCTTTTCTGATCCAGAGCAGTATCGACGGCTTGTGGGTCGTCTGATTTATTTGTCTTTTACTAGACCGGATTTGGCATACGCGGTGCATATTTTGTCTCAATTTATGCAACACCCGCGACAGGACCATTGGAAAGCGGCTCTTCGTATAGTGCGGTACTTGAAGGGATGTCCGGGTTAGGGAATTCTTTTGAGTTCAGATTGTGATTTACATATTACAGGTTGGTGTGATTCAAATTGGGCAAGTTGTCCCTTGTCGCGCCGTTTTATTTCTGGCTGGTTGGTGTTTCTTGGTGCTTCTCATATCTCTTGGAAGACTAAGAAACAGGACACTGTGGCCAAGTCTTCTTCAGAGGCCGAATTCCGCTCAATGTCTAAAACTACTGATGAGTTGAAATGGTTAAAGGCCCTTCTTCAGAGTTTGGGTGTCTCGCATCCCCGTGCTATGAGTTTGTTTTGTGATAATCAATCTGCTTTGTATATTGCGAAGAATCCGGTTTTTCATGAGCGTACCAAGCACATTGAGGTGGATTGTTATTATCTTCGTGAAGCGATTCAGGATGGTATCATTAGTCCGTCTTATGTATTAGTCCGTCTTATGTGAAGACAACGGACCAATTAGCGGATATATTCACCAAGGCTTTGAGTAAAAGTCAATTCATGTATTTACTTGGCAAGTTGGGCATTTGTGATTTGCATGCTCCAACTTGAGAGGGGGTATTAGGGCCTATTATTGTGTATAGTGTATAGTTATCGGGCCTATCTCATGAGCCCTATTCTATTTGCTAGGTTGTATATATACTCTACTCTACACTCTAATGAAACTACGGAAAATCATTTCGTGACAATAATTATGAAATCATTGTTACACTAAGGTGGCTCTGATTGTTGAAACTTATTTTAGCCCACTTGCGAGTGTTCAACATTCGAGAAAAAGAAGAATTGGTTCCACTTTATATGTTAGATGAGCTAGCTACTCCTACTACTACCAATTGATTTTAGTGAGCGTGAAGGGTAGCTCATGTGGTTAGAGGCTTAGACACTACAAGAAAACAGCGAAATTGCGACGGAAAAAGTTCGTCGTAACATATGTCAATTCCGTCGTAAAGTAGGGTTACGACGGAATTCCGTCGTAACTGGTCGTCGAAAAACCCTTTGTGGGAAAATGGCCATATTCCGACGGAATTTCCGTCGTAACCCAACTTTACGACGGAAATAATATCGTCGGACTTGAATTTGGCCTTTATTGAAGATCCGTCGCAAGCTTCCGACGGAAACAGTTTACTTTTAGCATGGAACATCTTTTGACGTGGTTTGTGGACTGAACTCTTCTCCTCCTAATTTGAGTTGCCTAGTTCCATTTCATATTATCCCAATATTTACCACTAACATATTATGGGCTTCAAGTGCCAATCATCTTGAACATGGATTTTTTTTTTCAATTATTTTTCTAAATTGAAGTTAATATTTAATCAATTTCAAGCTTTTTTTTTTAAAGATACTAGTAGATAAAAATTAAATGTGTTAAATTTTTTTATTGCAATATAAATTTAATTTTATGACAATTACTTATTTTATTTATTTATATCACTTGTTATTGTCCATTTTTTATTATTTTTTTTTCCTAATATACAATTATTATCTTTTTCCAATGGATTTTTAAATAGAACCTCTTGTCTACATGTAAGGGGAAAAAAGTTTCAGTTTAGAAGTTAAACCTCTCCTCTTTCCTAAACCCTTTAGTTATTTTTTTATTTGACATATATACGCTCTTTAATCTTATATATTACTTAGCTCTACCTGGCCACTTCCTCCAATTAATTATTCATGGCTTTAATTGTCCCAAACATGGATGAACCCTCAAAACCTCTTATCATGGTTACCATCCCCAACTCGATCACACTCACACCCACCAACTATCTTCAATGGAAGACTCAAGTCGAAGCCGTGCTCATCGGCCTCAACTTATTCGACAAACATATCGACGGCACCTTTCCATTACCATCCACAACCATTCCAACCCCCGCTTATCAAACATGGTTTCGCCAAGATAAACTAATCTTTGGCGCTCTTATTGGTACCATATCATATGATCTCTTTCCTCTTGTTTCGCAAGCCAATATAACTCATGAATTGTGGGATGAACTAGCCCAAACATATGATAAACCTAAACCTAAACCTACGCTAGACAAATTGGTGAGTTTTCGATCTCTATTATATGTTTTTGTCGTGTTTATTTTACCTAAGTTTCTTTTTAATTTTGACAGATAAAAACATACACATGTTAAATTCGTCATATTTTCTTGAATATTAACTTATTACCTTGTTTCATATTTAGTTTACACATTTGTTATTATCAATTCATAATTTCAATGCTTTATATACGTGAATCGAATTAAGCACAATAAATTGTCAAAGTAGAGACGAAGTTGTTTTTAATTTGGTACAATGTTTATTAGTAAGTTATTAACAAAGTACACAAAACTTATTGGCAGATAGAGGACAATGTGAATGAAGACGATCGAAAAGACCTAATTAGCAACTTACCTAATGATATCTTGATACACATATTATCTTTTGTGGATATAAAAACGGCAGGAAGAACTAGCCTTGTTTCGAAGAGATGGAGGTATGTTTGGACTCAATTAATTGATGTAGATATCAACGACCGGGAATCTTATGTACATAGGAAACACGTTGATAATAGTCAAGTACAAAGATTTTGTACAATGGTTACCAAGGTTATAACCGCGAATAATGCCCCCTTTCTTAATTCTTTCCGATTACATTTTCCTTTAGTCGTTGTTATTGATACGTCCAATAATTTCTCCCTTTCTAAATCCTATAAAGTGCCTCAATTTTCTCGATTATTCAAACCAATTGTTGATGCTTATGACGATATTGTTGACTACTGGATGAATTTGGCCTTAACCAAAAAGGTTCGGAGATTGGAATTGAATTTTTCAAATTTTTGCGGGGTGTGTGATGTTAGAAGCTACACAATTCGTCCGGTTTATAATGATCAATTTAATACCTTACAATCTCTTCACTTGGAAGGACTAAAAGTGGATGGACCCGTGCTCGAAAATTTTCTAGCTCATTGCCACAACCTTGATAGCCTAACGGCGAGGGCATTAAAGCTCAAAAGCCCACGAAAACTCGTGGTCTTCTCCATCAACCTGAAACACTTGGATATACATCATTGCGAAAACATGTGTACATTAAAGATTTCAGCTCCAAAACTTACTTCATTTGTATTGATCGCACGTGACAAGATTGACGAGGTAACGTACGTTTTTCTAAATTTTTATGCAGGGACAGTTTTATCCAGAATATGGATATCCGAGGATCCCTATGGATAAACTTCCCAGTTTATTAATCTCTTTCATTGAGGCATGCCCTTTGTTGCATACCTTCAAGTTGGAGGTACGCTTTTGGATTCAATTTTTATAAACATTGGTCTTATTTAGGTTAAACATGGTATCTTATTGTAGTATATATTTTGCATGCACCCTCTATGTATAAACTTTGGTCTTATTTGTTAAACATGGTATCTTATTGTACTATTGTATTATATATTTTGCATGCACCCTCTATGACTAAGTGAGATCAAAAGTAATATTCTTCCTTTGTTTTCTTTTATATGCAATACTTGTATTTAACGTCTGTTTATTAGTTATCAAATTGCAAAAATTTAATTATAATAAAGTATAAATCAAGATAGATCTAACCAGATCTCACATAACTTAGTTTTTTCCTTAACGATAAATCATCCAAGCTAGTCAAAGTAAAGTTTACAAATATTGTAAAACTCAAAGTGTTGCACATAATAAAAAATGGAGGAAATACTAAATAATACAGTAACGTTGGTCGTCACCAATTATGTATGGTAGTAGTCAGTTGATGGTTGAGCATACCAATTTTACGAGTTAAGACTGTATATGTATTATTTCAATGTAGAGTCGATGTCTGTACGTACTAGTTTAGTTGTTAAAGGTGTCTGAAATATTATTTCTATGGCTTATACTTCATAAGAAATAATATTAAATAATATCATGATCTCATAGTATGTCTATATTATTGTTTTTTAAGTTTCACATTTCATATATTTTTTAAATGACACACTTTCCTTTCAACGCGACATATTGATTATTAACGACTAGTTTATGTTGGCTCACAGCTATGGCCTATGCTTCAACACGCAAAGCTAAAAACAATATCATCAGGAAGAAGGGGTGTTAAGAATAAGTACGAAATGCGTAAACATGATCAACTTAAGGTTTTAGAGATTGTTGGATTTGATGAAAGTGCAACTCTAGCTGATTTTGTGTTTTGTATTACTCAAAATGCTCCGATGCTTAAGAAGATTATTTGTGATCCTCATTGTCCGCGATCAGACGGGGGATATCTACACAATGTAAAGGACAACTGTAATATTGACAAAATAGCCCTTGCGAGAAGACAAGCCAAGTGGCTTGCACAGCAAATTCAAGAGGGCATTGATGTAGTAGTTCTATGAATGATCAAAATTCTGAAATACTCTGTAATACTCCCTCCGTCCCTAAATTACATTCCTCTTTCTAGCATTTATTCCTCACATAATAGAAAGAAAGAGGAATGTAATTTAGGGACGGAGGGAGTAACTTTTCTTTGTTTTTCTTATTATATGTCTACTTAATCAAATCAATGATGTCCTTAAATATGACACGTATCATGATTGGTTATTGTAATATTTTTTTAGTGTATGATTAATGTTTACAAAAACTATTACTCCATACATAGTATATGGTTAATACATAGTTTTTTTTTTTTTTTTTTTTTTTGAGGGGAAATAGAGCTAATGCATTAATTCATGGACAAATTGTCCGAGAGTAATACATAGTATTTGAAAAGCATAGTTTGATACACAATTTTTTTTTTTTTTTTACTTTTTAAACACAAATTTATATGCGAAGTATGTGGTTTAACGGAGGTAGTATGTTTTTCTCGTCAGTTTGTTTTTTCTTTCTTAGGACTTGCCGCTCTCTTGCAAGTTTTAATGGTGCGATTGAAAAACGGAGGAAAGATACCTTCCAAATAAAAAGACAATTAAGGAGTGTTCTATAGCTTCTAACAACAACGGAATATCCCAATTCTGATCCCAAACATGGATAATATACTTATCTTATACGTAGTATACAAGTATATACTTGCATAGCTTAAAAATTGATTTTTTTTTTTTTTATTTTTTTTTTATTGACAGGTAAATATTGAATTTCAGAATCAATAACTTTCATAATAATTTTTTTTTAAAATCATTTCAAATCCGGTAATATTCATTTTTTCCATATCTTAAATGTTATTCCATATAATTTTATAAAACAACTCTTCGTATTTAATATATTTTAAAAAAAAAAATAATAGTTATCCACTAGCATTATTTAAAAAAAAACACTATATAAAATTATCAATTCATATTTTTTAAAAAAAATTTATTATCCTTGAAAGTTATCCACTAGCATTATTTTTATGTTGACATTATTTTTTAGTACTCCATACTTGGTTGTCAAAAAAAATAAGTACTCCATACTTATCTAATTATCTTATAGGAGTATATATATACAAAGTAGTTTAGGGTTTCCAACAACAATAACCCAATTCTAATCCAAAAAATGGATGAACCCTCAAAACCTGTCATCATGGTTACCATCCCCAACTCAATCACACTCACATCCACCAATTATCATTCATGGAAAACTCAAGTCAAAGCCGCGCTCATCGCCTTCGACTTATTCGACAAACATATCGATTGCGCCCTACCATCCACCACCAATCGAATATGGTTTCGCCAAGATAAGCTAATATTTGGTGTCCTTATTGGTACCATATCAAACGATCTCTTTCCTCTTGTTTCGCAAGCCAAAACAAGTCGTGAATTGTGGGATATACTAGCCAAAACCTTTGATAAACCCCTAAACAATGTTTCCGAGTGTTCGCATCTAATTATAGATTTAACCTCACCCCCTTCTTCGCCATCGAATAATGAACCCAATCCACCCATCCCTAAGCAGAAGAGAAGAGTGAGTTTTCAACCTTTGAATTTTAACCCTTTGATTTATTTTTTTATATTCATATTTCATATATTTTTTATCTTGGTTGTATTTTTATGGAGTAGTAACAAATAAAATAATTATCAAGGGATCGGATTCATTCAATCTTTCGTACGTAGTAGTTTCAATTCGATCAGTTATGGTGGAAAAAAGAGAAATCGATGATTTTTTTATTTATTGCACTACATGATTTCATTTTCAATTATCAAATAGATTAACTCTACATATATACACAAAAAATTGTTTGCAGAGAAAGAACAATGTGAAAGAAGGCGAACGAATGGACCGACTTAGCAACTTACCTCATGATATCATGGTACACATATTATCTTTAGTAGACATAAAATCAGCAGCAAGAAGTAGCCTTGTTTCCAAGAGATGGAGGTATGTTTGGACTCACTTAGTTAATCTAGTTTTCGAGGCCCCGGAATCTTATGACTTTAGCCCACGACAACTTATCAAAGGACTTGATGATACTCAAGTAGAAAAATTTTGTACAATGGTTAACAAGGTTATGACCGCGAATTGTGCAACATTTTTAAATTCCTTCCGAATATGTTTTCCTCTAAAGAAACCCACCTCGAATGGGATTGATAATAGATTAAATTTCTTGTATCATCTAAGGAACTCCAATCTTGGTGATATTAATAAGTGGATTGAATTCGCCTTAACAAAAAGGGTTCGAAATTTTGAGTTGAACTTGTCAGATTTCCAAGGGAATATTGTTGTTAATAGTTACACAATTCGGAAGGACTTTTTCCTAGTTCGCCCGGTTTATAATGATCATCTTTATACCTTACAATCTCTTCACCTTGAAGGCTTGAATATGGATGGACCCGTGCTCGAAAACGTCCTAGCATATTGTCTCAATCTTGAGTGTCTAACGGCGAGGTCATTAAGGTACCATTCGTCACCATCGAGGTCTAGTTTTGATTATACACAAAATCAACATCGACATCTTGTTGTTTCCTCCCTCAAGCTGAAATACTTGGAGATATGTCACTGCTTTGACATAAAGTCTTTAAAGATATCAGCTCCAAAACTTACTTCGTTTACATATTTCGCGAATTATGGTAGTATAGAGGTGGAGTATACTAATGTTCCATCACTAGTGAATGTGACTTTTGGAGATCATTATTGCTTTCATATTCTTCATAATTTGCATCTTCTTTCATCTTTCTCACATCAACTTGAGAAGCTTGCTATTCATTGGAATCAGGTTAGTTTGGGGAGAAAACATCTATGAGTAAGTGCGTCGTCTTACCATCATTAGACCACTTTAATTTGTATGTGACTCGCTCTAAGGTGGTCTTATGATGGTAAGACGATTTTAATTATAAAGTTTGTATAACTTAACCCGGTGTTCTTTCAAATCTGTATGTAGGTGAATCGTGTTGCATATGGATTGAATGTGATCCTTAGGAACAACCTTCTCGATTTAAAGTCTTTCATTGAGAAATGCCCTATGTTGCATACCTTCAAGTTGGAGGTACAATTATTTTGTTGCACTTTTTAATTTATAAACTTTAAGGTGTCGAGATGCTACTTAAAAGTCAGTCTAAGACATTAGGTTGAATAATCTTGTCTGTATCATTTTCCTTTTCTTAATTATTTAAGATTCTCATTCGATACCTTTTTTTTTAATTGATGCACTTTCCTTTCAAGGCAACAGTATTGTATTGACTAGTTTACGTTTGTTTGCATCAGCTGTGGCCTTTGTCGAAACAAGCAGTGCCAATGTCAGGACAAAGGGATGTTACGATCAATTACGAGATGCATAAACATAATCAACTCAAGGTTTTGGAGATTGTTGGATTTGATGGAAGTGCATCTCTTGCTGAGTTTGTGTTTTGTGTCACTCAAAATGCTCCGATGCTTAAGAAGATTATATGTGATTATCGCTGTCCCCGATCAAAGGGAAATGCTCACAAATGGTATGACCTTCAATATATTGATAGAAAAGGCTTTGTGAGAAGACAAGCCAAGTTGCTTGCCAAGCAAATTAGAGGAGGCGTTGATGTGGTGATTCTATGAATGATCAATAATCTTCTTTTATACCCTTTTGTTCCAAAATAAATTACCCGTTTCTCTTTGGCAAACATTTTGGAGAATATTGTGAGGTTGTCTTTTTTTTTAGGAAAGCACGAATATTTACTCTTTAAGTACTTTAGAATGCTCTTTGAATTCATCTTGTTGTCACGGTCCGACTTCAAGTCCCTCAAATGGAGTGAATGAAGGTCTGCTCCCTGCTTTTACGACTCTCAGCAACTCTGATCTTGCTGAGTGTCCTTTGATAATGTCGTACAGTACGACCATTTCAAAGGCAGCAGGAAGAAATCGAATTTTGCAAAAGGCAACAGGGTTAGATTCACGGTAAAATTGATCTGTGTACCAGTAAATATAAAATAATGTGAAAGTAGAAGCAGAATGCAAGAACAAAAACATGTAAGCAATAAATGACATTTGCTTGTTTTCATTTATAAAGGTGTATAGAAAGATTGTACATAACATTGTTAGGACAATGACCTCTAGATCTTATCCAGATGTGATAGCGCGATAAACTTTCAAGGACAAGCCTCTAGAGCAATAATCTGACAGCATACACTGAAAATTTTGAATAAAAATGAGTATTACATTCAACTGGAAATCACAGAGCAAATAAAATCATTGCTCTTTAGGTTTCCAAATTTCAAGTATAATAAAAATGACACAACTTACCTCACAAAATGTACCAGACCAATTATACAAAGGAGTACATGTGTGGTAGGTAGCACAGGATTAATCTGATCTACAATTTCTGCAGCCACCTTCTCATCAATGATCTGATCTTTGACGTGAACGGAATGAACCTCCAGCATACAGCATTTGATATACAGGTCTTATTCTTAGCGTAAGTATTACGCTTAGTAAGGATCCCAACCCACAAAGTCCAGCAAGAACAAAGAATGTAAGCTTAAAGCAAGAAGCCCCGATGCAGATTGATAATCCTTGCTTGTTGGCTTCGGCATCATATACATGACCAGCAAGCATTCCTGAGAAAAGCAGAGCACCAATGGGATTGCCAAACTGTATAAAGTTGTATATAACACCGAAATGTTTAAGACCAAATAGCTCAGAGGCTGTTGGAATCATTATTGCAGTCTGAACTCCGTAGCAGATCCCAAGCGATGCAGTTGCCACAAGAAGGGTACCGGTGAGAGCATATGCATAAAAAAGGAATGCTACGACCATAATCAATTGAGTGACTGTCATCCAAACAGTCCGAGGAATTAAATGTAATCTGCAAAGCAAATGTTTAGCAGTCAGCTTCATGCTCCAAGAGTTCAAGTCCAGAATATCTAAGTCGAGATTACTTGAACATGAAATGCCAAACAGGAGATGTTTTTAGCTGAGTAACTGTCATCCAAATAAACTATTAACATAACATGCAGTACTTTATATAAAGTGAATTTTTATGGACTAAGAGTTCTAATATAATAGTTGCAAATACTAGAAGATCATTTCCTATGGCTATGAATTTAAAAACGAGTTGAACATCATATTTATGCAAATGGTAATATAGAAGAACATCAACTTCCAAAATATTCAGAAGAAGATATTGCAAACAAGGATTCTCTTTGAATTGTAACATGGTCATCTCTACCTGGCACACTTGACTGAAGAGCGTTTACTATAGCTTATGTAGCTAGAACGAGAGTTAAAACTGGACAGTGAAACATCATCTATTTCTAATTAAGTAAATCAGAAAACATTATCACCTGACGAAATATTCTGAAACTGCACCTCCACCCAGGCGTCCAACGAAATTGCAGATAGAAAAAAGGGACAAGAGTATGGTAGTGTCATGCTCTTCTTGGGCGTAACCTATCTGAGCCAAATTGTTAAGAACAGTCACTCCAGTACCAACTCCTAGAAAGTACACTACCCACAAAAGCCAAAAATCGGCCTTGATCAAAACCTCACGGAAAGTGAAATCATCTCCTCTACGGGGTCTCCTTTTCTGTTTTACAGCACCCTCTCCAACAGCAAGAAGGATGTCCAAATCAGAAGCATCTTCCCCCTCTCGAAAACTCCCAAATTCTGAAGAGGATTTTACCAGCAAGGGTTCTGTTTGTATCGATTCATCTGTATCTGACACCAATTTGTCTGAAGAATCAACAGGTCCAGTAAGTCTTTTTTTGGAGGGAAATAATGTCATCTTGATAGGGATTGCAAGAGGAGCCATCATTAATATAACCATAACAACAATAAATGCATAGCAAACAGCTCTCCGGACAGAAAGTTTATCAGCAATAATTGTCGTTGTGAGGAGATAAATTCCAAGAAATATACTTGCCCCTTGAGTAAATAGGAAATGGCTCTTTTCAGAAGTGTCCTCTCCAGATGCTGGTGTACAAGGTCTGATGAAGTACATCAGGGTAAAGCATATGATTGGGATGCCGAATGTGAGGAATAGGAGTAGTGATGTATCAGATTTTTTAAGCACCATATCATATATCTCTGTATATATTGCAGCACTTAGACCAACATAACCCTTCAGAAGACCGGCAACTGTGCCCCTACTCATAGGGAAGTTCCTCATGTTGGTGACAAGAACAGCTGTCCCAAAAAATGCGCTGCTATTAGCCCCAATAACCATTGCAAGCCACAGCTGATCATAGGAACGGGGTGGAGTTACAATAAGATAATGAGAGTGATGCTAATACAATTGTCGGACTAGAGAACAAGATGAACCAACTTGGCACCAATGCAGAACAAAGTTTGTGGATCTAACAATTAGTTTATATTATAATGCCAAACTACTTAATATAGGTTGATTATAATATTTGATGTAAAGCAGCAAGTTTGACTAGTTTAAGCCCAAAATTCCAGCTTAAAAAATAAAAGCATGGAACAGGACATTAACCTTGAAGCAACTCACAATAAAAAAATTGCATAGAGTTTTCTCATTACACAGCATTAAACCATCCTTTCATACATTGAAACATTTACTAAAAAAGTTCTATTAATGTTTCTAATTTCTTATCCCTCCGTTTCATATTGTTCGTTCTGCCTACAATCTTTTTGTGAGACAAAATTGATCAAAGTACAGGAGAAAAAATTTGAAAAGGATGGAGTACTGTGTTCTTTGCCTTTACAAGATATACTGCCCCTATAAATTGACATTCCTACTATAATCTACAGATTCCTACATTTTTACCAAAGGTACAATTGTTCTTTATTCTACAATACCACCACAATTCAAGCAGGTCCATCCAACAAGAGACTAAACCGACACTTTTATCTTCCTTTATATACACCAAGGCTACTTTCTTTTATTTTTTTTCACATTTGTTCATTTTCAAACACTCCTAAGGATGAAATATGAGTGGCTAAGAGGCCTTTGCATAACCAATTTCAACTATTGCACTAAAAATAACCCCATAAAATCAATCAATTTCAAATTGGATACTTAAAAAAAAAACACACACACACACACAATACACGTGAAATCGTCAAAATCTATTAACTTCAGATTCCAAGATTTGAACTTTTTCACACACCAAACAAAAAAAATGTAAGCTTTGAAAAAGGGTGATTAAGAAAAGCAAAGAAACAAGAAGTTCATACCAGCCAAAAAGGCAAATTGGAAACAGTCTGTGAAACAGCAAGCCAAAGAACTCCATAACCCAGAAAACAGCCTAAAGCACCAAAAGAAAGAACAACCCAAGGTGGAAACTTGTTACAAGCAATGCCTGGCAAAATTCCAACACTTTCACCAATATCATTTGCAACACCCAGAATTGTAATCTGCTGTTGTGTAAAACCCAGTACAGATTTCAATGAAGGTGAAAAAAGAGGGAAATTATACGAATTTCCTGCTGAAAATTCAACCCAAACTGCTGCTGCTAACCCTATCCATGGTGGTCTTGTACCAGATTTTAGTGCAATTTCTGGCATTTCTTTTTCTTTGCTGCTTTTGTTGACTAGTTTTCTTTTCTGGGGTTGTTAAACTTTGACAAAGATGGGATTTTTTTTGTTGTTACTATTTGAGCATATTCTAAAATGAGGCTGAAAATACTCGATTTCAATAGCAACTATAATTTGTAACTCAGATTTTATTTTGGCAATAAGATTGAAAATTTTAGTGTTTGTTGTTTTTGGGATGAATGATGGAATGAAAGGGGGATTGAAGTGGGAGGATAGTAGCTACTCTAGCTAGCCACCTGCTCACTTAGAAGTTGGAATTATTACCAGACCCCTATTTCACTACTATTTGGCATCTAATAATTGATAATTCCTTGCCGTGTTACTCTATCTTTCAATTTGATACTGTAGTTTCTGCTTCCGCTGCTCATTTTTCACGAGGCCTGTTAATTACTACCTCCGGTCCAAATTACTCGCAACTTTGAGGTATTATTTATGAGATATAAAATATTTCAAAGTTGCGAATAATTTGGACCGGAGGTAGTATTTTATTTTCAAAAAAAAAAAAAACAAAAACAAAAACAAAAAAAAAATTGATATTAGTATTAGAAATGACTCAAGGAGTGTTGTCGGAGTTTGCAATAAAGGGGTACTCTGTATATCATTAATGGACAATGGGGCAATGGGTCATTCACTCATTTGGTAAGGACTACAAGTTTGGTTGGGATTTGATATCCCAAAAAATAATATTCCCTTCGTGATTTTGTTCCTTAATTATATGTCTATTGCTCTCTGTTATGTGGAAAATAAATTAAAGAAATAGGAATCTAATTAAGGGACGGGGGAGTACTATGTACACAGTAATACTCTATTCAGGAAGGATAAAATTATAAAAACAGACTCAACTTTTCATTAGGTCAATAAAACAAAAAAATATTGACCATAGTCTATTACTAATTATATTACAATTATATATACATATATATATATATGTGTGTGTGTGTATAGGTAGTATCCAAATAATGAGTATGAAATTTTTATAATTAATTTAAATGGTACTCCCTTCATTTTTTTTTATATGCATCACTTGGGAATGCACATAGTTTTAGGAAATAAATATAATATTGTGAGTGGATGAATAAATTATTATAACAAAAGTATGATGGGAGCATGAAAAAGAAAATATGTGAGAGAGAATAGATATTTTATTATTTAAGTGGGGACATAGAAGAGAGAGAAATGATAAAATAATTTGAGTGAGGTTTAAAGTAAGTGAGAGTAATAATAAAATATATTATAACTTTATCAAATATAGAAGTGATGCATATAAAAAAAACACCTATAAGAGGAAAATGATGCATATAAAAAAAAATAGAGGGAGTATATATATATATATATATATATATATATATATATATATATATATATATATATATATATATATATATATATATATATACCAATCAACTGCAATTGAAAGGAAGAAATGGATCTAGGAACACCCTAGTTAGATTTGTTTTGTACAATTTGATTTGGAGCCAAGCCTGGGTTTGAATTTGAAAAGAAATT